AGGCGGGGTGGGATGGCTCACACCTGTAATCCTAGCACTTTGGGAGGCTGGGGTGGGCAGATCACCAGAGGCCAGGAGTTCAAGACCAGCCTGGCCAACATGGTGAAACCCTGTTTCTACTAAAAATATAAAAATTAGCCGGGCATGGTGGTGGGTACCTGTAATTCCAGCTACTTGAGAGGCTGAGGCAGGAGAATTGCTTGAACCCGGGACGTAGAAGTTGCTGTGTGCCAGGATTACACTATTGTACTCCAGCCTGGGCAACAAGAGTGAAACTGTCTTAAAAATAAATTAAAAAAAAGAAAAAGAAAGAAAATACATTTAATGCACCTAAACTACTGAACATCATAGCTTAGCCTAGCCTACCATAAATGTGTTCAGAACATTTACATTAGCCTACAGTTAGGCAAAATCAATCTAACACAAAATATATTTTATAATACAATATGGAAAATCTCATGTAATTTATGGAATATTGTACTGAAAGTGAAAAACAGAATGGTTATATGGGAACTCAAAGTACAGTTTCTACTGAATGCATATCACTTTCACACCACTGTAAAGTCAAAAAATCCTAAGCTGAATCATCATATATTGGGGACCATTTGTAGAGCAGTTTGGGGTATGGGTGAAGAGGTTAAGGGATATTATGACGAGGGCCTAAAGCTCCCCATCCAAGTCAGTCCTTGGTGTACCATGGTTCTCTCTCCGAGGCCATAATGCCTTAAAGAGCAGGATACACATTCTGTGTTCCCGTGACACACAGTGGGAGTTCCACAGGTGGACTGATTTTCATTCCATTAGAGATAAACATGTCTGCAAGGACTTTCTTGCACCAAAATTAATCTGTAAGAAACAATTTATTATGCAAATTTTAGGATTATAACAATTAGAAAATGCAATTTGAAGGAGTTCTTTACAGTGTTTCTAGATGGCTATTATTATTTTTTTGGCAAGATAAACAAACTACTTAAAAAAATATATTTCCTGAATGTCATAGTAAGAAAACAGAGGTCATAGATCATTTATTGTATCATTTTGGCAGGGTGGCTTTAGTTGTATGTCTCTTCGCATTTTATTTACTCTTCTACTTTGTAGAAGCAAATGTTTATTTTTAATAAGTACTTATAAAACATTGAATAGAGCAATATAGAATACTGAATGTAATGTTTTCGTTTAAAGGAACATGATAAAGAAATATTTACAGTACCTTTTACTTGAAAAGTTCAAAGTACTAAAAAAATACAAATGGCTCATCAAAGACACGCGAAATATACTAAATGCATTTATGCTCTCGCCGATCCCGCAACCATAGATAAATGTCTAAGCTGGTTAATATTTATCTTCTTGATCTGATTATTTTTATTTCCCCATTCTTTGTTATTCATGTTTTACAGACATTGTATTATTCCCAGATCAAACTGGGATTACAAGTGAATATATGTGATTTGTGCAAATTCCCAGGAATTAACTAGAGAGTTTTTTTAGAACTTGGAAGATTGCATCCTCATTTTAAGAGTTACTGATAATGAAAAATTATGGCATCACTTTAAGTTATACTTTCCTTAAGCAATATTAAGATAATAATTTTCTTTGGTCATTTGAATTTAACTCCTTTGATATTAATTATCACTCTCATTGCATTGAGGGAAGGCTAACATTGTCACTTTGGAAGAAAACTGCAAATTTAAACATCTGTTGGTAAAGGTGGCAAATACTGAAATTATCTTAAACATGGATAATTAATTTAGTGTATTTTAAATATTTAGTTGGTTAAAAATAAAAACAAATGAGCAAATAACACACACTCTCCTACTCAACCCCCAAAAACAAAAGGAGAAAGAAAAGGAATGTTAAGAGGAAGAAAGAAAAGGAAAATAAATTCTGACATTTTCTATTGTGGTAACTCATCTTGTCAAATTATTTTATAGATATTTAATACTCTGTTTTGTTAATTTTTATATATACAATTGACCAAGTTTTATGACCAAGTAAATTTTTTTTTAATAGGGTTGGGAGTCATTTTTAAAAAAGCTACAAATAAGGTATTCAAATTTGCATAGGCCTTTTCTCTTAGAAATTCTAATTCTTGCCTGTATTTAATCAGGTACATGGAAGAGATAACAAACAAATCTATAATATGAAGGAAATTAGGCTGGGTGCAGTGGCTCACACCTGTAATCCTAGCATTTTGGGAGGCTGAGACAGGAGGATGGCTTGAGCCCACGAGTTTGAGACCAGCCTGGGCAACATAGTGGGACCCCATCTTTACAAAAAATTTAAAAATTAGCTGGGTGTGGGGACACGTGGCTGTAGTCCCAGATACTCAGGAGGCTGGAATGGGAAAATTGCTTGAGTCTGAGAGGTGGGGGCTGCATGAGCCATGATCACACCACCGTACTCCATCCTGGATAACAGAGTGTGACTTTTTCTCAAGAAAAAAAGAAAAGAAAGAAAGAGAAATTATCAGGTACAATATTTTGCTGTGTATTACTAGTCACGGTAATCTGCATTAAACATCCATTAATAAAATGCTCTTCTCACATTAAAAAACTTGAATTCACATTACATACCACATAAAAAGACTAACATGTAAAAATATGTTTGCTAAATTCGATCACCAGAAGCTTGACCAGAAAAAAATATAAAAGTTTCAGATTTTCTAAATGAGGACATCATCATATTAATAAAATCATAGTTTCCATTTATGAACATTTTATGTGCAGGAGTCCTAATAGGTTTTGTCAACTATTCATTCCAACAATAGTCATTTCCCATCTGCATTTTCCAAACTCACCTATTTTTGTTGTTGTTGTTGACTACTTTAAAATGTTATCATTTTTGTCTATTTGAAGTATCTCCTTTCTCTTAGAAATTCTGATTTAAGAAGTTTCAAGATGCAATCTGGAAATCTTTTAAACCACTGTTAAACTCCACCTACTCACCCACTTGCCTGCTATCCTAAGGATTTTACAATCAGGCAAGTTTGAGAAATAGTATGCAACATCAATCACAGGAGATAGGAAGCAGAACTTTTATTTGTTTAATTTTAATTTTAATTTTTGAGATTAAATTTTCCCTCTGTTGCCCAGGCTAGAGTGCAGTGGCACAATCTGGGCTCACTGCAACCTCTGCTTCCTGGGTTCCAGGTATCCTCCTGCCTCAGCCTCCTGAGTAGCTGGGACTACAGGGGCTTACCACCATGCCTGGGTAATTTTTGTATTTTCACTAGAGACAGGGTTTCACCATGTTGGCGAGGGTGACCTCAAGTGATCCACCCACCACGGCTTCCCAAAGTCCTGGGATAACAGGCATGAGCCACCACACCAGCCAGAGCCTTTATTTCTAAGCTCTCAGCCAAATAAAAACGTTAACATAGTTTTATTATCTTCATTACAAGATTTAAAGTATTTTAACAAGAATATTCATAAGGACTCACATCTGGAGAAAGTGCTTATATACACCATCCTCACCTTTAAAAAATGAAGATGGCATTTGTTTTCATTGATCACTTTTTATAACATAATTATCTTTTAAGCCATTTCTGTATAACATGAAATAGAGTAAGACATTTTCTTTTCTTTCTTTTTTTTTTGTTGAGACAGAGTTTTGCTCTTGTTGTCCAGGTTGGTGTGCAATGGCGTGATCTCGGCTCTGCCCCCCGGGTTCAAGTGATTCTCCTGCCTCAACCTCCCAAGTAGCTGGGATTGCAGGCATGCGCCACCATGCCCAACTGATTTTGTGTATTTTTAGTAGAGATGGGGTTTCTTCATTTTGGTCAGGCTGGTCTCAAACTACTGACCTCAGGTGATCCGCCCGACTCAGCCTCCCAAAGTTCTAAGATTACAGACATAAGCCACCATGCCCGGCCCAGAATAAGACATTTTCTAATTGTTATTTGAGACAGAAATAAAAAGTAAAATAAATATGTAATAACCTTTATAACTTCTGTGTCACAGGCCTTCTATGTCAAACAAGAAATAATCTTTTCATTTTTCTCAGGACTATAATAAGTAGAACCATAATTTAAATCTATTATAAGATATATCATATTAAAGGGTATTTGTCAAAGCTGCAATTTCCAAGCAAGTGGTGGTTTAGTCCAAAAGCTTGAAAAGAAGTGGTAGCTTATTCTACACAAAAAGTACAGTGTAATTCTATGTATCTGACATAATTATCTTCATAACTAAGAGCTAGCTTCAAAAGTAGCATAAAAATCCACACAAACTTAAAAATAAAGTAGGCTCTACATATGAATGGAAACAAGCAGCTGTATTGAAAAAATGAATTCTTCCATTGCCTTTATTTTTTTCCGTATGTTCTCTATTTTAAAAGGTAAGAATGAGATCACTTAGCTAATTCACCAGTCAGGTGTAGTTCGGTGGATTACTATACTATTATCAAGTTGAGCAGGACTGATCCTTATCAACTTTTCTGGCTTCAAAGCCAGGAATGAGAGTGAAAAGGCCAAAAACTCTTTTGCTCAACAGATGGGATGTACTTATGTGGTCTGTCCATACTTATAACCCACTGTTCTTTTGAACACCATCATACAATGGGCAAACTTCTGCTTATTCAACACTTTAAAATTAGCTTTAAAACGAGAAATCTCTAAAAAACACGCCGTGGTTGCTTATGTGTTTTACATGCATGTACTAAGTAGTCTAAGCGTTTTCTTTCATGCTCTTTGTGCCTAACCGTCTACATGATTTGATCAAACCCAGGTTAAATATTTTTTTTCCAGCTACTATTCTGGCCACACCAACTAATTATGCACGCCTCATAACACCGCCTTTCAAAATGCAGAGAGAATTAACCGCAAGGAAGTAAAGATTTTTCTAAATATAGTCCCATCATGTTTATTTTACACTCATCAAGTAGGTCACTGGAGGTACCCGGCGGTTAGGGACACTCAGAAGCATCTCCCAAAGCCAAGGCTGAGTCCAAGGGGACACTGACAGCTGCGCCATCTACCTGTTGCAGCTGGGCCACTGCTCTGGACGACTATCAGATCAGTTTGTTCGTCCTACAAATGCTAATGATTGGATTTTTAAAGTCGGTGTTTGCCACCCCTTCTTCCCGCCGCCCTGCCGCCTTCGGGTCGCTCGGGCAGAGCCAAAGGCGCCGCGGGACTCGCGAGCTCCCCTCCGCGCTGGCTGCAGCGGCGATGCAGGGCATGCCTGGCCGGGCCGGGGACTGCCTCGCTGCCGGGGCAGGGACCTCGCAGGCCGGCGCGCGGAGGCGAGGAGCCCTCCCAGCGCCATCGACTCACTTACCCGCGGAGAGGCGATGGCGCGCGGCTCACCAGCCCGGGGCCCAGATCCGAGGAGGAGGGGCAGCGGCGCGGGGACCCGGTGGCGGGTGGCGTAAGGAGGAAAACGTGTTACCTAAGCCGGGGATGCGCACAGAGCAGGAGGCAGCAGCCTTTCCCTCGAGAAACGGAAGCGGCGGGGGAGGAGAACGGGAGGAGGAGGAAAAGGAGGCGCGGCCGGGGCGCTGGGTTAGGCGAGAGGCGCTGGGCGTGCGGCTGCAGTCGCGGCAGGAGAACGAGGGCTGGGAGGACGGAAGAGGTCACGCGAGGGAAGGCGAAACCCGGGCGACGCGCAGCCCTGCTTGGCTCGGCGCCAGATCCAAGCTCGGCCTCGACCAGGCCGCCACCGTCCCCGGCTTTCCCGCGGGACCGCGGCGTGGAAACGCGCGCTGCCGCCTCGGGGCTCCCAGGACCCGCGGGCCCCCACGCCTGCCGGAGCCGGGCGTCCGCGACACGTCACAAATGGAGCGCGATGATTCAGAGGGAGGGCCAGGAAGGGAAGGGCTCTGGGGTCAGCTTAGCCACGGCTACTGTTTCCTTGTCGCTGCCCACGAATTCACTTTTAAATCTTCCTCCTCCATTCAGCCGTACTCTCCTAGGGGATTGCGGGTTTGACAGATGGGTTGGCAGCTGTGAAGATGGACTTCCTGCCAGTGGTATTCGGGTCCCACTGTTCTAATGGAAATGTCAGGTGTACTAGATGTTCCTCAAGCCACAACAGTGTCTCTCTGGGCCTTGCCTCTTAAGGAGTGGGCCTCGGGCCACCTGGACAGGAAGCGCATGGGGTGGGGAACTCATCTCTCTCCAGCCTTTGATGCTGTGATACTCAGTGTACCTTCAGGGTGGTTTGGGTTTTGAACCGTAGGAGGTAAGAATGGGTGTTGGTGGGCAGTGGGGGGGGGGGGGGGGAGGGGGGGGGAGGGCGTTAGAAACCTTAAAAGGGTAACACAAACCTTTCGAGTAGAAGGGTCCAAGCAGCCTGGCCCAAAAGCTGATGTTTGTGAATACTCTGGGCCTTCTAAAGCAGCGCTTCACACACCTTTTCACTTCTTGGCACAGGTGGTAAAGGATGATATTCTAAGGCTCAAAATGGGGATAAACAGAAGAGGCTGCTCCTGCAGAAGGCGAAAGGGCCCTTGCACCTGGAGGGCTGAGAACACCCAGGCTCTATCTGCATGCCTGTCTTTCATTCGTCTCATGGCATGCTGTTGGGAGGCTCTGCTTAAAGTTGTATCTGGCACGTTTTTTTAGCTACGTTTTTCCAAACCAGCCAAGACTGCCTCACTGAGTCGTCAACACTTGGTCCTCCCAGCAGTGAGGAACCACCAAGATAGGAGGCTGGGGCAATACTCAACTCGACAAACGCCAGGAAATGGTGCTTAAAACGTTTGGCTTCTCAAATGGAACTCATCGTTCCGCTTCCAGCGTGCTCCTGGGGTTTCCAACTTGAGACAATTTCTCCCCGCATCCCCCTACTCTTCCCTGGCTTTCACTCTAGCAAGCGGGCGGCTTCGCCTTTCTTTCTCAGATTCACTTCTTAGGTGCATTCTCAGAGCTGGTTAGGGTTATTGTTTAATCAGCCTCATCATCGTATCTATAATGACAAAATCAAGAAACAATTTAAACATGATTCTTAAAAGTAGGGAGATAAATACCGGAGACATAGAAGGTGAAAGAATTTGCCTTTAGGAAGCAGGAATTTGGGGAGGGCAGGGTGGAGCAAGGGATATGAATCTAGTTCATTTTTTTTTTTTTTAAGATGGAGTCTCACTCTGTCGCCAGGCTGGAGTGCAGCGGCATGATCTCGGCTCACTGCAACTTCCGTCTCCTCAGTTCAAGCTATTCTTCCACCTCACCCTCCCTAGTAGGTGGGATTACAGGCGCCTGCCACCACGCCCAGCTAATTTTGTATTTTTAGTAGAGACGGGGCTTCACCATGTTGGACAGGCTGGTCTGAAATTCCTTACCTCAAGGAATCCGCCCGCCTCAGCCTCCCAAAGTGCTGAGATTGTAGGTGTGAGCCACTGCACCCGGTGGAATCTAGTCCATTTTCCCCTTTGCTACTACATATCTGGAGGGTTTCTTGCTTGCTTAAAAGCTTTCTTTGGCTCCCAATCTGATAATACCAAGAGCAAGTTCCTGAGCAACTCATTAAAGACCCATCACGCCTCGCATCTGTCAACTCTGCCCCTTGAATATTACACCCCATTTTATTACACGGCATCTAGTTCCTGAATATGCAAACAGATTTCATACATTTGTACATTTATACATGTTATTGCTTTTGCCTGGGAAAGCATTCTCTTGCTGCTATAGTAGCTAATTACACTGTGCTAAGTATTTTATGTGATTTACAACTGTTAATTCTTACATCAACGCTATGGTAGATGTTACTGTTATCTCCATTTTAGAAACAGGAAAACGAAGACTTTAAGCGTTTAAATGATTTGCTCAAATATGTAGTATGTGGTGAGGCTACATTTGAACCCAGCAATCGGACTAACATAGCATTAACTATTCATCCTTCTAAAAACCTTTCGAAAAGACACTACATTTGAACAGGATTAAAAGATTTAAATGTTTTTAAGTCTTAAAAGGGCAAGGAGAAAATACAAGTGAATTGCTTTTAATCTCAAAGTAAGCATGAAACAAAGGCTGAAATTACAAAGGAAAAGTGACAGATCTGACTGCTGAACTTTTAACTTCCTTCATCTAAAAAAAACCGCATAGAATAAAATTGAAAAACAAGTAAAAATTATTTTTAAAATTGTACTATACATGAAAGATAAGAGTAATATTCGTATTGAAGAGGACTTATAAAGAAAAAATAGCCTATTAAAAATGAGCAAAATGCAAATTCACTATCATGAGAGAAAAATGTAAATGGCCAAACATTTTTAAGAGAAATGAAAACTTAAAATGATAATGCACCATCAGATTGTCTGAGAATAAAATAATACTCTGAGCTAGTAATTTGGGCCAGTGACCCTTGGGGTAGGATGTGTGGCAACTGAACAAACTCATACATTACTGAGAAGGGTATAAATCGGCTCAGTGATTCTGAAAAGCAATTTGGCAGAATGTAGTGAAAACCTTAAAAGTGTTCACACACTTTGACTCAAAAATTACATTCCTGGAAATTTATAATACAAACATTTTCTATAAAGGTCAGATAGCAAATACCTTGTGCTTTGAAGGCCATATATGTCTCTATGCTTTTCTTTTGTATGTGTGTTTACAAAAAAAAAAAAAAAAAAAAAAAGCCCTCCTAAACCCCCACACTTTCGATAGGCTGTTCTTGCATTCCTATAAAGAAATACCTGAGGCTGGTTGATTTATATGAAAAGAGGATTAACTGGCTCACAGTTCTGCAGGCTGTACTGGAAGCATAATGGCATCTGCTTCTGGAGAGACCTCAGGAAGCTTTCAATCATGCTGGAAGGTGATGGGGAGCAGGTGTCTCACATGATGGGAGCAGGAGCAAGAGGGAGTTGGGGGTTGGGGGAGAGGAGCCACATAAACGATCAGAACCCAGTGAAGTCATTGAGAGCATACTTACCACCAAGGAGATGGCCCAAGCCATTCACGAGGGATCCACCCCATGATCCAAACACCTCCCAACAGGCCCCATCTCCAACACTGGGGTTTAAATCTCAGAATGGTATTTGAACAGGACATCCAAACTATGTAACCCTCAAAATTGAAAATCCCATCACAGTATATTTGGTAACGGCCAAAAGAGAAATCAAACTAAATGTCCGAGAATAGAAATTAGTAACAACTAGATACATGGAGACAAGTTTTTTAAAAGTGTTAAAAATTTTAAATGTTGCAGAGTGGTATCTATTGCATAAAATAGTATTTATGATTTATTAAGTGGAAAATGCAGTTTACAAAAGAATATGGTGTGATCCCCAAAACAACATAATCATGTGTGTATAAATGCATAGAAAAAAATCTGTAAAGATATAAACAGATATTTATAGTGGTCTGGGGAGGGATGAAATTGTAGCTATTTGTTTTTTGTTTTATATATATGTTTCCCATAATGAATATGTATTGCTTATATAACTAGCAAAAATATAAGAAACTTTGTTTGGGGGATAACTAAGCACCTCAGTTGTCAGTTTGGGAAAATCTTTTATTACCATCTCTGTCAGGAGTTAGTTGCTCTCTCTTCTGTCCTCCCTGATTACTTAATGGTCTTCTGAGCACTCTTATTTAATTGCAGAATGGTTAATATCATCATTTATTTAAGCTTTCCTCTATTATCGAACATCTGATTTCCCAGTACAGTAGTTTCCTCTTATCTGTGGTTTTGCTTCCCAGGTTTCAGTTATGGTCAACCAAGATCTGAAAATATTAAATGAAAAATTCCAGAAATAGACAATTCATAAGTTTTACATTGTGCACCATCTCATTCTATCCTGCCCAGGACAGGGATCATCCCTCGTGTTCAGTGAGTCCACACTGTAGATGCTCCCCTGCCTGTTAGTCACTTTGTAGTTGGCTTGGTTATCAGATCTACTGTCAAGGTATTGCAGTACTTGTGTTCAAGTAACACTTATTTAACTTAATAATGGTCCCTAAATGCAAGAGTAGTAATGTTGGCAATTTGGGCATGCCAAAGAGAAGTCATAAAGTGCTTCTTTTAAGTGAGAAAGTGAAAGTTTTTGACTTAATAAGGAAAGAAAAAAAATCCATATGCTGAGGTGTCTAAGATCTATGGTAAGAATGAATCTTTACCTGTGAAATTGTGAAGGAAAAAGAAATTCATGTTAGTTTTTCTGTTGTACCTCAAGCTGCAAAAGTTATGGCCATAGTGTATAACTTTTATTAAAATACATTCGTATAATGATTTTATTTTGTTATTTTATTTTTAGAGACAGGGCTTCATTCTGTCACCCAGGCTGGAGTGCAATTGTGCAATCATAGCTCGCCACAGCCTCAAACTCTTGGGCTCAAGTGATCTTCCTGTCTCAGTCTCCCAAGTAGCTGGAACTGTGGCATGCATCGCCATGCCCAGCTAATGTTTTAATTTTTTGTAGAGATGGAGTCTTACTCTGTTGCCCAGGAACTCCTGGCCTCAAGTGATCCTTCTGCCTCGGTTTTCCAAAGAGCTGGGCTTACAGGCATGAGCCGCTGTCCCTGGCTGTTCTATTTTATTAGTAGTAATTGTTGTTAATCTCTTATTGTGCCTTATTCATATTAATAACTTAAACTTTATCATAGAAAGGTATGTATACGAAAAAACATTGTATATATAGGGTTCGGTACTATCTGCACTTTCAGGTATCCGTGAGAGGTCTTGGAACGTATCCCCTACAGATAAGGGGGGACTTGTATTTTACTGATATAAATATGCTGGTTATTCTCCAGCATATATGTTGTCTCCCAGAGCCATCTTCGGCTCTTCTCTGCTAGACTCTGTGCCTCAGAAGGTGGAATTTTTCATAAACCATTCCAGCTGGAGTCTCATGCCGATTGGTTTTAACCAATGGGTAATACCATCAGTAGATTGGAGGGTAGAAAAGGAAAAAAGCATTGGATATGTCTCACTACCTCTTTTCCTGCGTCTGGCTGGGTTCTGATGGTGGCTTTGTCCCTCGAAGGCTCTTCCTGTGAGGCAGCCCCGCTCCACTGTGCCAGCCTTCACTGGGCTCTACTAACATGATTTCCTCCCCTTATTTCTTCAGGCCTAGCTGTGCTAACTCCTGGGTACCTCCATGCCTCTCACTGTTTCCTTTCATCCAGCCCTGACTCTAACTTCTGTAAATAGCTCCCTCAATAAAATCTCTTCAGCTGAAACATCTGAGTGGAAATTAGTTCCTGTTATGACAGACTAAATATATT